ATTGGAGAGAACCAGAGAAATGTACTATGGACTGGGTTCTGGATGGCACCCTGACATTAGCATTCACTAGGTGTGCTAAGGACACTGTGGTTACATAAGAAAATGCCCATATTCTTAAGTCATGTATCAAAACACAGAAGTAAAATGACATGTGTGTGGCTTGTTTCAAAACACTGTAGCCTTAGCAAGAACAAAATTTTGACAATATGGAATCTGGGGTGTGGGATGGGGATTTGTTCTGTTTTTCTTTTTAAAAATATTTTATTACTTTTATTTTATGAGTATGAGTATATTGCCTGCATGTATGTAAGTGCACCCATGTTGTGCAATGCCTGTGGAAATCAGAAGAGGGCATCTGGAACTGGATGGTTGTTAGCTACCATGTGGATTCTGGGAACCAAATCTGGGTCCTCTGAATGAGCAGCCACCGCTCTTAACCGCTGAGCCATCTTTCTAGCCCCATGCTGTTTTCTTTACTGTCATATATGCTTAATTTTTTTCTTATTGAAGAATACATAGTTCTAATAGTCAGGATTTTTTTTTTCTGTTTTGATTTTGTTTTTTGAGACAGGGTCTTGCTATGTAACCTCAGCTGCACAGCATTCACTGGGCAGGCCAGTCTGGTCTCAAACTTATGATAATCCTCCTGCCTCAGCTTCCAGAGTGCTGGGCTTATAGGCATGCATCACCATGCCTGGTTATACTCAGTTTTTAAAGCTTGTTATAAACAACAGCAACTGTCTGCCTCTTTCTGTCTGTGCTCCTCACCACCTTTGCCTTCTTCAACAGAAGACTTTGCTACTGGCATCCATGTTTCTATATAACTTGCTTTGATGGCTACTTCCTGATTTTAGGCATCATTTGCAAACTTTTCACTAGAGAAGCAGAGAATTTATTTTGTCTTCATGCACACATATGCTCTTCTCTCAACCATGCCCATTGTTGTTCTAGGCTCCCTGATCCTGCCCTGTCATCCCAGTTCAGCTATCTGATAGCTATTAGAACTCACTAGATCAAGAGTGACTGTGTTTACATAAATACCAAGAATCTGTACCTTCCTGTGTGGCTTTGTCTTTCATTAGGATTCATACCTATCTTGTTTTAGTTTGCTTGATTAAGCAGAAATCTTCAACTTTTCATTCATGGGCCCCTGAGTCCTTTTCAAGGGTCATGTGGTTATTACTCCAAACTGTTTCTTGATGTAATCCCAGTGTGTTACATGGTCTGTCCTGTTAGCTGACATTTCTATCAATGGTCTGGTAGCCTTGGCAGGTGAAACCCTTTGTCTGCGCAGGATGCAGTGGTCACTCTGCCCTTCTCTACCACACATTGGCAGCAAGAAAAGAGCTCGTTCCATTTAGAACCTTCTCAATGGATGAGTAAAACTCATTACTTTCACCATTTTTCAACCCTAAGCACTTGTCTTTGTCACTCATACTTCATGAGACAGGATGATGGCTGATGGGGGAAGGCATGCACTTAGCCAGCTTGGTGCTGAACTGATGGTGTCCTTATACCATACCATTTTTATCCAAAGGAGCAACTGACGTGCACACTGTGGTTTGGTCTTGGGTACATAGTACTTCAAGGAAAACAACAGACATTGCTTGTCACCAATGATAAAAGTTGAACTTTGACAAAAATTAGAATTTTAGAAACTGCATCTGTTACATAAGCTTGTCAACTTCCTAAAACTGAAAAAGCTGGCAGATAAGAACAGCAGCAACACTAAGAAACATGATTCATAAAGGATCATAGAATGAAATGTGTCCAGAGTCAGCAGATCAGCACCATACGTTAAGACTTTCTCAATGGTAATGTTAAAAAGTAAGTAATGTTAAAAAGTCATGTCTGGGTAAAAGATCCACTAACAGTAGATTTTTATGGAACCTGATTAATGAGGCTCATCTGACACTGTTGTTAGTCTGCTACAGGTGTTATAACAAAACCCCATAGACTGAGGGGCTTAGGTCATAGAAATTTCACACAATTCTGAAAGCTAGAAGTTCAAGACCAGGATGTCAGCCAATTCAGTTCCTGGTGAGGGTTGTCTTCATCACTTGCACACAACAACTGCTTTTATGCATGTCTTCACATGGTGGACAAAGAGAAAGCAAGCTCTCTAGTATGCCTTCTTTTATGGACAGAAATCTTACTGAAGTGTGGCCCTATTCTTATTATCTAATATAGTCTCTGTGTGCGTGTATGCGTGCGCGCATGTGTGTATACTATGTGTGAATGTGGATATGCCTCTCTTGGTGTGCACTATGAAGGTCACAGGACAACCTCAGGTATCAGTCCTCACCTTTTACCTTGTTTGAGAAGGATCTTTTTGTTGTTTATTGCCATGCCACATATGCCAGGCTAGTTGGCTTAGAGCTTCCAGGGATTTTTCCTGATTCTGCCTCCCATCTCAAGGTAGGAACACTGGGATTACAGATGCTTACTACTATACCTAGCTTTACATGGCTACTGGGATTGAACTCAGGTCCTCATGCTTGCAAGGCCTCTTCCTCCTCCTCTTCTTCTCTTCCTCTTCCTTCTTGGCAGAGTTTCTCTGAGTACCCCAGGCTGGCCTTCAATTCACAATCCTTTGGCTTCCTTCCTGGGATTATAGGTGTATGCCACAAAGCCCATGTAGCTCACTGAGAAACAGTTTGTAAGTGATTCTTTGTTTCTGAGACCTGGAATGCCTGAATAGACCCCTTTCTCTCCTCACAACGTTTTATGAAGATCACAGCCTTCTAGAAATGGAGAAGTTTTGCTTGCATTATCATAAAGCTTCTAAAGTTGTAGTGAAAAAAATCTGAACTTATTTTGGCTTCTGGTCTATTGTAGTGGCTTCCCTTCAACCCTTTTAGAAGCCTATAGGATCTTTCATCTGGTCCAGTATGCTGAACTTCTATGACGGCATACACTAGAGATGGCTGGCAGTGAGCTCTACTCACCTGGAAAGTCACATCCTTTAGGAATGATTTTGCTGATTGTTTCTTCCCCTCTGTTTCCTTTGACTTCTGAAATGGTCATTGAGCAGATCTGGATATCCTGTATGGGTCCTCTAATTTTCTTATCTTTTTGATCCCCCAAGACTAAGCAGCTTCACTTTCCAATCAGAATCTTGAATCTTCTTCATTTCTTCTATGCTGTTTTTAATTTCTAAAAGCTTCTTTTTCTCCTCTTTAAATAAACCCTTTTTAAGTTAGATATTATAGCACAGGTATCCTCTTTGAAAATTCTAAAAGGGTGTTAAAGCAGTTTCTTCTGTGTCAGGTGTCTCTTCATACATGACTGAAATCCTTTAGCCAGGCATGGTGGCACCCACTTTTCATCTCAGCACTGGGCAGACAGAGGCAGGAAGATCTCTGTGAGTTTAAAGTTAGCTTGGTCTATGTAGCAAGTTCTAGGTCAGCCAGGGCTATATACTGAGTCTCTGTCTCAAAAAAAGAAAAAGAAAAAAAAGGAAGGAAGGGAGGGAGGGAGGGAGGGAGGGAAGGAAGGAAGGAAGGAAGGAAGGAAGGAAGGAAAGAAAGAAGGAAAGAAGGAAAGAAGGAAAGAAGGATAGAAGTGAAATCCCCAAAGGCTCTGATTGCAGGGGTCAACACTGCTACTGTATGGGACAGAACTGGGCTTTTGGTTGGAAGAGCCTGAGGTTGCCAAGTCTTTATTCTTCACTTCTCAGATTCCTCAGAGAAAGATGTCCCCACCTCCTGACTCATAGGGTACAGGCCTGGCTCCATAATTCTGGAGTTGAAATTCTTAACATTTGGATGCTGAGGTTTACCCCAGTGCCTAATGAGGCACCATGCCATCAAGTGTGCTTGATGTCCCTGGCTCACATCACCCTTCATTTGTTCTATCTACAGAAAATAACCTCTAGGTCTTCTGCTAAGGCCAGGAAGGCCAATCTTTAGAATAAACTTTCTACCAACACTATTGTCGGTCTCATCCCCCACCCCTCCTCCTCCTTCCAAAGTTATCTGGTACTGTCAACTTCTGGAGTTTTTGTTTCTTGGCTTCCTCTGTTCCTGGCTGAGGATTCAGCTTTCTCAGGACTGCTAAGTCAGTTACTACTCATCCATCTGCTCTGCTGCGTCCAAAGTTCTGTTGCTGTTGTCTCCTCTCCCATTCTCTTTGTCTTTGTGGGTTTGTGTCTTTAAAAAAAATTCTCTTTACTGTTGTTTTAGTGAGGTTTTGGGATGGAATGAAAGCAAATGTGGTTATTCAATCTCCCATCTTTATTTGGAACCTCTTTATAATTAAATATCTCTTTTACTTCCATTTATTATTACAGCATGAACATTTCCCATGTTCTTCCGTGGTCTTTGTGATCAGCTTTAACGACTCAGAAACCTGCAGTATCTATCTCACTCATCTTCTTCTGGATGTTTGCAGCTGCTTACCCTGGGGAAGGGAACTAACTGGTTTTCCTAGAGTCATCTTTATTCATCTTCTTCACTCCCTGTCTATAGGGCGTGCTTGCTGACACCATCCTCCATGTGTTCTCTACCTGTGGTTTCCTTACTTTATGCCCTGACTGCAGTGTGACTCTGCTAATATGTTAGTCTTTATATCTCCATCCATCCCATAGGATACTGCAACCCTCACTTGTCTAAGATGCCATCTTCTTTAGAACACATCAGAGGAGCCCTGACACCTGCAATTCATGTACAGCTTGGCTTCCCATCATGCCTTCCAGCTGTTCGCCTGCCTCACTGTACCCATCTCCCACTCTAAGCTTATACCTCATGCCTAGTGTCCTCCTTCAACTGGTATGTACTAGCAGCTACTCCTTCCAAATGAGTAAGTCAGTCCTGCATCCTAGGTGGGACTGGCGGCTCTTCCAAGGCTGGGGCCCTTCTATCTCTTCCCTATAGTTGTTGCCCCAGGCCTCTTGCATCCTTCTGCCATGGCACTCCAGCAGGCACACAGGGGTGCTTACCATGATACACAGGATGGGATGGTGCTAAGTGAAGAATAAATGACTAAGTGTAATTTGTTACCTTGCCCTCGGGGGTCAGTGTCCAGATCACAGAGAAAGTCAGTTTGTCGGTCATGGGGTTGAGGCTGCACAGTTCCTCACACAGTAGCCTGGGAAGCATGGGGACCACCTGTGAACAGAGGAGAGCTCATAAGCACTTCTATCTAACCTGCAGGAGTCTGTCTCAGGTAGTCCTGAGGCAGAGTTTTGGTGACCAGCTTGTTTCCAGAGTGAGCTAAAGACGAAGGAGGTTTGCACCTAGACTCCTCTGTACAAAGACCACTTTGACTCAAGCTCTGCCTGGGACCTTACATATCAAGTGAATGTGAGCTGGGAGGCAGGAAGAAAATAACAGGAGGTAAGAAATACTGCCACTCTTTATGGTTACAGTCCACCATCTGGATTCCTGGGTTCTACCATAGCTGGAAAGTTGTTTTAAATGCATCTGTATTGAACACGAGAGACCTTTTTTCTTGTCATTACTCTCTGAGCAATAGAATACAAGTATTACATTTGATTATGAATGATCTGGAAATGATTTAAAGTACATGAGAGGGGGCTGGAGAGATGGCTCAGGAGTAAGAGCACTTGCTGCTCTTGCAGAGGACCTGGTTTGGTTTTCAGAAATGACATGGTAGCTCATTACTGTCTTTAACTCCAGTTCCAGGAGCTCTGGTGCTCTCTGTAGCACTAGGCACACATGCAGCATACATACATACATGCAGGAAAACACTCATATCTGTAAAAATAAAAATAAATCTTTAAAAGTCTATGGGAGGATGTGTGGTGTGTGCAGATACTATGCTATTTTATAAAAGGACCTGGAGCACAACTGGGTTGTGTCCCCACAGGTATTCTGGAACCAATCCCCTCTGGGTACTGAGGGGTGATGGTACTAAACCTGAGCTCTACACTCAATAGCAACTTGGGGCATAGCTATTCAGGTTGAATGACATACTTAAGAACCCCAAGGCTGAATGTAAACTCCTCAGGGCTCATCAAAGTAAAATCATCAATTATTTAATTTAGTAATTGAATATACCATAAATTACAAAATGATGTTGGAAAATTAACAAAATAATATATATCTCTATGGTAATAAAAGAAAAGTTCACAAATCCAGGTCTCTAGACAAACACTGGCCAACCAATCACCTGTTTTGCATGGCTTAAACTTACTTTTATATTTACTATTTATTTGGTGGGCATGTGTGCTTGCCACATATACACGTGGAGGTCAGAGGACAACTTGTAGGAGTTGGTTATCTGCTTCCATATATAGGTTCTGAGGACTGAACTGAGGTCACCAGGCTTGGTGGCAAGTACCTTTATCCACTGAGCCATCTCACTGGCCCCATTTTGCAGGTTTTTGATGGTTTTTCTTCTTTACTGATCTTTTAATCCTATAATAAACTGAACTTATATTCCTTTAATTAAAAAATTGTCAAGATGGGCATGGTGGCATATGCCTTTAATTTCAACACACGGGAGAGGCAGGTGGATCTCTGTGAGATCAAGGCCAGTCTGGTCTATACAGCAAGTTCCAGGGCAGCTGGGGCTACAGGCAGCTGTTATTTATGTCTCAAAACATAAACAACAAAAACAATTTGTCTTCAATGTATTCTCAAATAATGACTGACAGCTATCTTTGAATATTATTTACAGTTACATTATTAATTATAACATGAGATGTAAAATTAGTATTTCTATCTGCTCTCCACCAAGATACTCTGCCCTCTGTCTCCTGTCTTCAAATCTAATCCTTCTCGCATACCCTTCTTTATTATTAGTATTACTACCCACTCTACTGCCCAACCTGAAATAGCACTACAAGCCATTTCTCCTTCACACTTACTGTGGACAGACTTGAGCTACACTACTGACCCTGTGCTAATTAACTGGGGGTAGGGGACCTGCTACATTCAAGTAAAGTTAGCTAATTTCTTTACTGGTAAAATCAAAACAAATCCTAGTTGTTTCTCACATTGCATGTAGTGTATTTGCACCTATACCATTTCCATACACAATATATCTTTGGTATGGAAAAGTAAACTAGAGAACTCATGCCTACACAGTGACAACAAATTAATAGCTGTTTGGCATCATTCTAAAGGTTTCAGATCTTGGCGAAAGAAACCTAATGACTTAAAAACTTTAATTTTTTGTTTGTTTTTTGTTTTTGTCTTTTTGAGACAGGGTCTCCCTGTAGTCCCAGCTGACCTGAACTCACTATCTAGACCAGGCTGGCCTTGAACTCACAGTGATCTGCCTGCCTCTTCCTCCCGTGCACCACCATGCCCGGCTGACTTAAAAACTTTTAAAGTAAAAACTGATTACTTAACTTTCAGTAACAGCTTTCATACTGAAGTACTATTGAATACTTTTTTCTTACCCTTTTTATACCATCAGTCCAGATGACACATATTATTTGCTAGTTTGTTTTTTGTTCATTTGTGGGGTTTCTTTTTTTTTTTTTTTTTTTTTGGTTTTTTTGAGACAGGGTCTCCCTGTAGCCCCAGCTGGCCTGGCATTCACTGTGTAGACCAGGCAGGCCTTGAAATCACAGAGATCCGCCTGCCTCTGCCTCCCAAGTGCTGGGACTACAGGCGTGCGCCACCATGCCTGGCTTGTTCATTTGTTTTAAGACAGGGTCTTATGTAGCCCAGGCTGGCCTCAAACTCGGTATGGTCACAGGTGACTCTGAACTTCTAATTATCCTACCTCCACCTCTTAAATGGTGGGATTACAAGCATGTACCACCACACCTGGTTTATGTCTGTGCTAGGGACTGAATCCAGGGTTTTGTGCACTAAACAAGCACTCTACCAATTGTGCTACATCCTAACTTGTTTAGCGGTGCAATAAAATGTCCTCTAAATAGTTACCATTTTCTTGTGTATGTCAAGTATTTAATAAAACAGTGCACCTTCACCTATATCAACACACTACAGAATAGAGAAAGTTTCTATATCATATTGTTTTGTGATTGAATTACAACAAAGTTTCATATAATTTCAGCCTCTGGACTATGCTATAGACTGAATTATACCTCCCTGCTTACATGCTGAAGTTACAGTATCCCATTTGACAGTATTTGGAGACAGTGTCTTTGGGAGGTAACTAAGGTTGAATGAAGTCACAAGGGTAAGGTCTGGCCTTACAGAACAGGTGGTTTTATAAGAGAGGGGGACAAAGTTGGGTGTGGTGGCACACACTTTTAAAAATAAAAGTTTTTAAGTCATTAGGTTTCTTTTGCTAAGATCTGAGTCTGGGAGGCAGACACAGGCAGATCTCTGAGTTCCAGGCTAGCCTGGTCTACATAGCAAGTTCCAGGCCAGCTGGGTCTAACTACGGGGAGACCCTGTCTCAAAAAGACAAAAAAAAAAAAAAAAAAGGAAAAAAGAGGGGCAAGAAACCGGAAGAAAAAAAAAAAAAAAGGGAAAAAAAGGGACACAGAACAAGAGAAAAAAAAAAAAAAAGGGAAAAAAAGGGACACAGAACAAGAGAAAAAAAAAAAAAAAGGGAAAAAAAGGGACACAGAACAAGAGAAAAAAAAAAAAAAAGGGAAAAAAAGGGACACAGAACAAGAGAAAAAAAAAAAAAAAGGGAAAAAAAGGGACACAGAACAAGAGAAAAAAAAAAAAAAAGGGAAAAAAAGGGACACAGAACAAGAGAAAAAAAAAAAAAAAGGGAAAAAAAGGGACACAGAACAAGAGAAAAAAAAAAAAAAAGGGAAAAAAAGGGACACAGAACAAGAGAAAAAAAAAAAAAAAGGGAAAAAAAGGGACACAGAACAAGAGAAAAAAAAAAAAAAAAAAAAAAAAAAAAAGGAGAAACAGAGAGACAGAGACAGAGAGACAGAGAAAGAACACAGTTCATCTCTGCAAGTAGGAGCTTTATGAGGACATATCCATGCACCAGCCAGAAAGAGGCTCTCACCAGGAACCACACTGGTCAGCACCTTAAACAGGGGTTTTCAGACTCCAAAACTGGAAAAACAAACATCTTTTGTTGAAGCCACCCAGTCTGTGATACATTGTTAGGGGGGCTGCGCTGACTGAGCTGATTCAAGTTTGCTGGGTGTGCAGTCCTGTTTTCTCTTTGGGTTGCATTATCAGGTATGGTACCAAATCTACTGTGGTCACTGGTGCTCATCCAGCTTATGGCGATGATCAGTCCAAGGAAACATATTTTAAGTCACAAACCTGATAATGTAACATATTCGTGACATCATACTTTAGTGCTTGTCAAAAGAAAGTCATTGTAACTTGGGGCTAGGCTCAACCCTGAAACAAAAAATGCTGATGGGAAATTAGCTGAAATCCAGACAGAAAATGCAGTGGAGTTGGTAGCAATGTCCCAATGGTATTTCTTAGCTCTATCAATGCAGCATGTCCTGTCTTTACAAATTTTTCTGTAAGTCTAAAAATATTTTAAAAGAAAAACTTATTTTTTTTTTAATTTGGGGTTGGAGAGATGGCTCAACAGTTAAGAACAATGGCTGTTCTTGCAGAAGGCCCAGGTTCAAATCCCAGCAACCATATGGCAGCTAACAACCATCCATAACTCCAGTTCCAGGGATCTGATGCCCTCTTTTGCCCTCTGTGGGCACTGCATGACACAGGTGCACTTACACACATGCAGGCATAAACACTCATACACATAAAATAGAAATGAATAAATAAAAAAATTTTTAAGTTAAAATTTTTTTTTTTTCAGAAAATGGAAGGACCTTCCATGCTCATGGATTGGAAGAATGAATTTGTGAAAATGACCATCCTACCAAAAGCAATATATGGAGTCAATGCAATCCCAATCAAAATCCCCATGACACACTTCATGGAATTAGGAAAAAAGCCATCCTGGGGCTAGAGAGATGGCTCAGTGGTTAGGAGCACTGACTGCTCTTGCAGAGGATCTGGGTTCAATTCCCAGCACCCACATAGCACCCACATGGTGGCTATGAACCATCCTTAACTCCAGTTCCAGGGGAATCCGAAGCCCTCTTCTGACCTCCGCGGCACTGCACGATATAGGTGCACTCACAGCACAGGCAATACACTCATACACATAAAATAAAAATAATAAATAAAATATTTCAAAAAAGAAAAAAAAAGCCATCCTTAAATTC